AACCCCCCCCCCCCCCCCCCCAAATCATCCAAACCTGAAAAACCCTAAAAAATAAATAAATTTATTCTTCTCTTTCTCCTTAGGCGGCCGGAGAAGTGGACCAGCACAACCTGTAGTAGTGCGAGGCGCGTTGCAGCACTTCCGCGAGCAGCGCTTCGCGCTGCTGCATCCATGCCAGTCGTTGGAATACCATTTTTTTTTCTAACTTCATAAATCTGTGACTTTAAATTTGAATCCAAAACCAAACAATCCATAATCTAAAATTTTCTTCATCTATTAATCCATATTATGGAAGACAACCAAAAAGAATGTCATAAAAGTTTCCAAATTCTACAACATGTAAATCTAAAAATTGTCAAGTTTGAAAACTTAAAAGATTATTGCAAGAACCAAATAAAATATTCGATTCTCAATGATTCAACATAAAAAGGCTTTGATACCACTTATAGGAAATTTGTTACCTTAAATCAACAATCTTCATGTTGGATCATCAAGAAATTCAAGAATTATAGCGGAAACGTACTTGAATCAGACATGATTAATAGCAATGGACGAATCTCAGGGTTTAGTCTTTCAAATCTACATGCAGTTTTCTTTTCTCTCTGTAATGGGATGCAAAAGAGAATGAACAATACGTACGTATGATCTGGAGATCATAACCATATTTATATAACGATGCCCTTTGACCTAATTCGGCCCGTCATAGAATTAGGAATCTGGACTTGGTCTCTACACATATAGAACCTACACTTTAATTGGATGCATAATAGCCCAAAATCGAAGCCTTATTAGATCACTTTAAATGGGTTCAACCGAATTCAATAGCATTTAATTTAATACACAACAATTTACACATATAAATCCACACGATCGTTTAAAAATTTCTTACAGATATATCCACAACAAAGTATATGCATACCCTAAAGGTCAGGTCTATCTTGGATCAGATATCTGGGTATGGGTCTTTCCTTTGCTGCTCCCACAAACCTCATCTCTTATTTCCTCAACTGGATAATATATATCATAATGAAACACACTTGTGGAGCTGTGTATTGACTTTGACAGATAATTGCCAACTGAGTTTCATTGTCCCACCGTCCCACATGCCCTTTTAACCTATTTTAATCCCATCCTCTGCCTTTCCCTATTTAAGAGCTCATATCTCATTCAAATGCAAGAAAAGAAAATTGGGTACTAGATTTATACAGAAAGTTGTGGTAATTATTTGTTCTGTGCTAGATTTACTCCTCAAGATTCCTCCAGTGCAAGACAGACATAAACTCATATTTATATATGGAACCAACTGTGGAAGTAGAAGATGATGTTTTCTTTGCAGATTTAAGCAAGCGAATCTCTCTTCTGATCATGGATGATGATGACGACTCGCTTCATGAAAATTTTCCATCTGTTACTTCACAGGTTCTTCATTGTCCACTCGCTTTGTTAATTGTTCGACATAAGAGAGACCATGTGAGATTAATTTTTAGATAAGATGGCTAGTGGCACTTGTTGCACCAACATATCACTGTGAAATATACTTAACTAGTATTTTCGTTTCAAAAATAAAAAATCTAACTTGGGAAAAAATTATTAATTTTTCCATTTCCAAATAAATTATAGAGACATAGGGGGAACTTTAACTTAAAGCAATGAATAAAAAATATGAATTGCTTTTGCGGAAGTGATGCCTAAAATGTAATTCAATTTCTACCTTCGAATTTCGATCTTGTTCATATGCGCCTGTTTTATATGATATCGTAACTCTTCTTGAAGAAGAGGATTGTCGCAAATGTTGCTTCGTTCCTAAAACAAGGAATCAAGTCCCCCATATGCTTGCCCTCTGCTATTTTAAGGCCACTAGATAGATGCTGGTTAAACTGATTTAATTTTTTCCACGTAGAGATTTTCACTGAAGGAATTTACTTTCCGATTTAAAAATAAAAATAAAAATAAAAAAATTGAATGTTCAGCTTCATTAGGTCCCAATTAAGAATACACTCAACAGTCAACTTTTAGGAAAAGACTTAAATAATTTTCACTCACTACTTTTCTCAAAAACATGGTTTCTAGATGACGGTGTTGCCATGCTTCTAGTTTCCATTTGGGTGCAATTTATGTACAATAAATACAGTATGGTACCAAGGTCGCCCTGAGACAAATTTCAAATATGAGATCCTATGTATGTGTAAAAATACATGTAAAAAAAAATAATAATAATAATAAATAAATAAAATTTGGGGCTCTCACTGAAGTGGGGCCTTAGCCGATCGCCTACCTCACCTATAGTCAGGGTCAGCACTGTATGGTACTCACTGGGTGATTGTCACTCTGCCTAAAGGCATACGCCTGATTAATGATGCTCATCTTGTTGGATGTTTTGACCAAGTTGAAGATTTGCTAAACCAATCATTTGTCTTTTTTTGAATATTTTCAGGCCTTCACTCAGGCAATCCATCCAGCCACTCAAATGCCAGTTCTTCATCAGAAGACATGCACAAGAGAATGTAAAGGGACTGGTGTTTTTATTCCACTTTCTTCTCATCAAAGAAGGAAGAATAGGCAGGAAAAACATATTAAATTCCACAGGCATTCCGATATCTCAAGAGGGCTTCCTGACGTCGCTTACAATAGAAATAACAATAACACGCCAAATGATTCACTTAACCCTAGAAGATTTTAATTATTACACTATTTATTTGCTCTCCGAAGTCTACAACTCAAAAAGGCAAAGATATTTAAGAATATTTAAATGACTGCGTATAAAGAAAGGTGTATTGATTTTTGCCTCTTGTAGTGAAATTGAATGATGATCGTTTCTTAGGCTGGAAATGTCTATAGTCTATGTTTGATATTGTCTATAGTCTATGTTTGATATAGCTAAAAAAGTTGATGCAAATTTAATTTAAAGTCAACAATAAATTTTAAGTACATATTTTATTGAATACGCGCCTCTTATTAGCTTTTCAAACGCATATTCATCAATTTTTATCAAAAAATTTCTAAAAATCAGTTTTCTATCTTAGCAAAATTAAACACGGATGTGGTGTAACCTTGTCATCTTCGTTCAGTGCACTAGATTTCTCAATAGGTTGGGAAAAAACTATATATATTTTACTATTGTCTATTGATTTAAAATGAGTTGTAAATAAATGGATAATACTTGTGAATTTCTTAGAATGTTTGATTTGAAATGAAGTTTAACTATTTGCAAAAGATTTATGAATTTTACCAGATGCAGAAGTTTGGAAAGTATTTATAAATGATTTAAATATAAATATATAGAAATATATAGAAATAAATGATGAATAAGTGGATAGTAATTATCAATTCTTCGAAATGTGTAAATAGAAACTGGGATCGAGTATTTATAAACTATTAATAAACATGAGCCAGACATGCTTAGATAAATTTGCTTCGTATCTCAAAAAATAAGAACATGTTTGGAAAGTCAAATTATAATTTAAGTTGATCAGAGGTAGATGAGGAAAAAATTCACTCTAATCAATAGTAATTGTGTTTATAACAAGACCTCAATACTCTCAATTAAGATCTAAGGCTTTCAAGAAGTTGTATGAATATTATAGGAACAATACAAATCGTGACTAATATATATATATATATACCCTAGAAATCAAGTTATAGAAATATTGGACTCCTATTTTTGTATAAAGTTATAAAAATTGAAACGGGCCTGGGCAGAATAGCACCATCGTTTGAACAATAGGCTAGTGGTAGGCAGGAGATAGCTTCTTTGTTCGTGCACCGAGAGAGCAATAGGCGAGCAACAAGTCTCTATAGAAAATATGAAGGAGCCACTAGAGCGGCCAGCTAGCGAAAATAAAACAACTTATTTTTTTTTCGGTTCACAATTTTTATCTCTTCAAGACCACTTCAACCAAAACTCCAATACCTACCAAAATTTGGGTCAAACTACAACAAATCTTCACCTTTAATCAAATTCTAAAACAAGGAATTCCAAAACACATCTCCAAATTAAACATCTCACTCTCTTCCAAAAACAAGCCCCAATGGACTAAATCAATGATAAACACTAATTAAGTTCAAGAATGTTCAAACATAGTATTGAGATGTTGTTTTGTCATCATATCAACATGATTATCCTTGGTATCAACTTTATTCACTGTAATATCACCATGAACAGTCATATTATGCAAAAAACGATACTTCACATCAATGTGCTTAGTCTTCTTATGAAACATGTGATTCTTAGTAAGAAAAATAGCACTCTAACTATCACAATATACTGTAAAAATTTGCAAGTCTTTAATGATTTCACCAATCAATCCCATCAACCACATAGCCTCCTTACATGCATCTATAATGGTTATGTACTCTGTCTCTATTGTAGACAAAACTATTGTATTTTGCAAAGTAACTTTCCAGCTAATAGTATGATCTCCAAAGGTAAACATACCCTGTAAGTGATCTTTTCTTATCAAGATCCCCTGTATAAGCTGAATTCACATATCCAATGATTTCATCTATATTTCTACCAAAATGTAAGTAAGCATTAGTAAAGCCCTTCAAGTATTTGAATATTTATTGCATTGCTTTTCAATGTTCCTTGTCAGGATTTACATTGTACCTACTAACTGCACTAAATGCATGTACCAAATTTGGCCTCGTACAAATCATAGTATATATAAGCAATTCAACTGCGTTGGAATAAGGGACCTTGACATATATAATCAATGTCTCCATCTAATTGAGGTCACAATCCAAATAATAATTTGAAGTGGTTAGCGATAGCCTTAGCATTCAACATATTAAACCATTGAAGCAACTTCTCAATGTACCACTCTGACTCAAATACAATCTATTAGCCCTTCTACCCCTCAAAGTTTTCATACCAAGAATTTTATTTGCTATACCCAAATCTTTCATCTCAAACCCTTACTAATTGAGATTTCTCCTTTCTAACCTTTGCTTTGTGACTGGGAGGATATCATCAACATATAATAGCAAATATGTTATTGATTTACCATCTTTCTTTCTAAAGTACAAATAGCTATCATAATTACTTTTAATGAAAATATGAATTGTCATGAATGAATCGAACATTTTATACCACTGTCTCAGTAACTGCTTCAGTACATACAAGGATTTTTTTAACAAGCATACATAGTCTTCCTTTCCAAAAATTATGAAGTCTTCTGGTTGTTGTATGTAAATGTTCTCTTCAAGTTCTCCTCACGTGAATGCTGATTTGAGATCTATCTACTCAAGCTCCAAATCATTTTTTGCCACTATCTCAAGTAAGCCCGTATTGAACTATGCTTTATTAATGGTGAGAACACATCTATGAAATCAATACTTGGAATCTGACTATAGCCCTTTGTTACCAATTTGGCCTTATACCTAGTATTTTCAATCCTCGATGTTCCTTTCTTCCTTTCGAACACCACTTATAGTGAACAACCCTTTTATCCTTAGGTAATTTCACCAAGTCTCGAGTACTATTTTTATTCGATGACTCATTTTTCTCCTAAACAGCATTCAACCATCTATTAGAATCACTGCAACTAGCTGCATATGAATATGTAGCAGGTTGTTCAGTGGAATCAATATTTTCAGCAACACTCAATGCATAAGCTATCAAATCTAATTCTCCATACTTATGTAGAGGCCTATTTTGTTCGCGAGATTTGCCCTTAGCTATCGAATACTGTGGTGTTGCTGGTGGTATACGCAAAGTAGGCAAATTATTACTGTCTATAACTCTAGACTAGATTCATTTATAGTAGATTGTTTTGAAACCTTTGGTTGTTCCCCTGGACAAATTTCTAGCTCCACAAAGTTGAATGATCATCAAATATTATATTTCAACTAACTACCATCTTTCTTGTCTCAGGACACCACAATTTATACCCCTTTACACCTAATTTATATCCAAGAAACATACACTTTCTAGACTTAGATACCAACTTTCCATTATCTATATGAGCATAAACAGGACACATAGATATTTTTAAATTAGAATAATAAGAAGGTTTACTAGGCTATACATATTCTAATGTCTTTTTATTAATGATAGTCGAGGGTGAGCGATTAATCAGCAAATAAGCTATAGTATTAGTTTAAGCCTAAAAAATCTTAGGCAATTCAAAATTTGATAGCATACAACTAACGTTTTCCATCAAAAGTTCTATTTATCCGATCCACCACACCATTCTATTTGAGAGTTTCAAGCACTATCAAATATTTCAAGATGCCTTCAACGCTGTAGAAGCTACTAAATTTTTCTGAACAAAACTCCAACCCCAAACTTAATTTCTATATTGTCCCCATGTAGAGCAATTTATAATCAAAAGTATAGGACTTGAAATAACAGAAAAAACTAAGACTTTTTGGAATTTCTACATGTCAAAATTGTTTCAATTTCAATGCAAGGAAATTTTTGCACAAATATATTATACATCAATATATGAATGTGTGGTACGAATTAAGAGGGAAAAATATTGAAGTAAAGTTTATTGGAAATTTTCATCACATTTTGTGTTCAAAATTTTTTTTCCAGTTAATTCAATGAATTTGTGAAGTTTTTAGACCCAGACCCAATTTATGTACTCAATCCACATTTATCAACTTCATGAACTGATCTATCCCTAAACTCCATCATCCAATATCTAAATCCTACCAAAATTTCAAACTTTAAACCCCAAGTTGAATTAAATTCTTGTTTTAGGAGAAAAACCCCAAAAAATTTTGAAGTAAAAACTTTCAAACAACCCAAAGAATTTTGAATTTATTTATTTATTTATTTTTACACTAAACAACCCCAACTTCATGGACTGAACTATCCCTATACTCCATCATTCAGTGTCTAAATCCTACCAAAAATTAGAACTTTGAACAACCCCAAGCTGAAGTAAAATTTTGTATTAGGAGAAAAGAAAGAAAAATTGGGTTGATTTTCAAATTATTGGAAACTAATCGAATAATTCAAGTTCAAAGAACCAACTTAATTCCTTTCTCCACAATGCAATTAACAAAATTCATTTTGAAAATTGAAAGATTCCCAAATTATAAGAATTTGAAGTTCTTGGCATTATTACCTTTGATTTGATTTTGGAGTAATGTTTGGTGTTGGATTTGTTGATTAGAACTTGTAAATTCTTCTTAGAACTTATTCAATTGAATTTTGAAGATGGGAGTTTATGATTTGGTTTGATTTGGTGTGAAGAGTATGTTATTTTATTTTTCTTCTTCCTTTTTTTTTTAAAAAAAAAATTATAACCAACCATAGGTGACCGTGGTTCGCAAAGTCACAATTGACTAGCAAAAGACACGGGCGTATTGTGGACTATAATTGACTATGTTCAAACCATTTTTTATTCTTTTGAAAACATGTTTATGTGTAATGTGTAATCCTTTTTTCATAATGAAGTGTATTGAGGAATAAAAATAAGGTTTAGTGTGTGTTTGAGCTACATTATTTTGAAAGAATATATTTTGAAATAGTAGATTGATGGAGAATGTGTGGTTAAAAATGAGAAAAACTTCGAATTTGCGCGTAATATTATTTTATTGAAAAATGTGTGGTTGAAATGATGTCAAATCACTGTTTAAGAATGAATTTTTTTGAAAGAATGTGGCTCAAACAAGGACTTAGATAGATGAGTCAACTTGTAAAATTTATTGATTTATAATATAAAATTTAACTTTAGTCATTGATTGATCGTAATAGCTCGATCTAGGATCTTTAATCCTTATATTCTTTGCATTGTCGAGGTTTACATCCTTTCTTTGCTTTCCAAATTCTGCAATCTTCTTTTTCAACTTTGAGAGCTCTATTTATTTCACCAATTTCTCTTCAATCAGGATTAGGTGATTTCTCTTCATCAATTCTACAATAATCTTTGCGGTTACATGATAGCTCAAATCAAGTATAGATGTCGAATACTTCTTATTTAACTTCCATTCTCAAGATCAGCTTATATTTCTCCATGTCTTTTAATGTTTGATCGGTTTGTAAGAATGTTCTACCTCATATCACTGGAATATTTTGTTCTTCTAGGATTAATAACACAATGAAATTAGTTGGGAATATCAGTTTTTTACTTTGATAAGCACATCCTTAATCTTGCCTCGTAGATGTATGATTGTTCTGTTGGTAAGCTGCAGTGATACCTAAAAATTTATGGGGAACGCTCTAGTAATGCTTAAAAAACACTTAAAGCGTTGCAACGTCAAATTCAAGTTTTAAGCTTACCAAGTTTACGTTCCAATTAACAATTATTCGACCTTACTGCGGACTTACTAATATAAGCAACAAGTCACTTATTATTAGTCATCTAGATGATTAAACAATCAAGTCCAATTAATTCCTAAGGTTGAACTGCTGGTTTGTACTGCATAAAGTAAATAAAACAGTAAAAACACAACTCACATTATGATGATGGAGAAACCCCAACGTGGGTAAAACTTCGGGACCAAGCCAATGACTTCACTTTTTCAATTCAGCAAGTACAAGTTCCCAAACTCCATACCCAATCAGACCCGCTATTCCAGTCTCACGATCTATTGCCGTAGATGTAACTAGTCTCCTACTAGATTTCCCGATCTACCTCCTGCAATTCAATCTGCTGTCCACTATAGTCTCCTGGTTCTTAGCTGATTGTATAACCAAGTGAAATTCCAAAAACCACCTGTTCTTGTCCAATTCACTGCGCTTGTCGTCCAACTCTCTTAATCCCCAATGAGAAAGTCCCTTCCTTACAAGATTAAGGAAGCACCAGTGTTTTGTTTTCAAGACCTTTGATGTTTTCCAAGACTTGGTTGCTGGATCTCAAAAGCAATATGTATATAAGTTGACAGGACGTAATTTATATCCAATTAAAGTTGCCACCTTTTTCCAATTTTTTGTCTCAGTCATGTTCGACGAGTCTTCTCCGTGTTTTCCTTACTACCACCACTATTCTGCTTTCTAAAATTCTTCCTACCGTCTCTTATATGTGTCCAAAGAAATCCAATTCTAGTCCAAAAGCAACCACCAGTAGTCGCCGTTTATATTTGTATGTATTGCTTCGGTTTTCTCTTTCTTTCAGCCCAAAAAGACCAGCCTCCAATCTATGTAAATATATATATAATTCAGCATCCTCAATTTCTCAATTCATGAATTCTTGTGCCTCAATTCTTCCAAAGCCGCCGCCAACAATGTTGTGTATATATTTGATAGCAGCTCTCAATTTTCAACTATTCAAACGAACTCCAAGTGGCTATCTATTGTGTTTGTATATTACCTCAAATTTGCCTCAATTTCCGTGTTTGTATGTATATATATCTTCAGTAGCCAGCACCTTGTCTTCCTCAATTCCTGTGCATATATATGTGACAATTTCAGCCACATTTTCTGTAGTTTTTCTCCTCTAATTCCTCCTACACCCGCCTTTTTTCTTGTTTGTATAATATAGTTTAGCCACCATGTTTGACTCTTGAAAAACTAACACAATTTGTTTATGTATATGATATATTTCACAGCAGGCAACCTTTATGTTATTTCCTTCAGCAGCAAGAAACCCTTTTTTCTTCTATTTTCCGGTTGTAGACGTATACATGTATATATTTTGGCTGCCCTCATTTTTTTTGTTCATCTGTGTGTCTAATAAATAGACTTTAACTTATGGGCCATAATTTTCCAAGCTCAAACCCTAGCCTAACTCAAGTATACAATATTGCACTTCACACCTTGACTTTTAGACATGTTTAACTAAGTCCTTTTTTGTTCATAGAATGCCAACTACAATTAAAAACCTAACAATACTAATGTTGCTTTAATTTCACCCCATCACAATTTCTTATTAACAGAATATAACATTAAATTTACTCTAGTACCTGAATCCAACAAGACATTAAATGAATAAGTATTTCCACTTTTTAGCGAT